AAATTTGATTTGCAATTAGAAATGCCAAATCGATGCCAGTGGATAAAGGAGAAGTGTAAACACAGCAACGTAGCTGGATAAATATTGGATAAATAAAGGATAAATATAGCTGAAGCATAAAGAGTGCTGTTCTTGGCTTAGCTTCACTGTACCATGCTTATGCTGAGCCTCATGAAATGGAATATTAGCTGTAAGAACAGCCCCCCCACCCCTACCAGCTCCGACCAGCACCCATTTTATATGCGTGTCCATGTTCCATGTTGTCCCGCTGCTGATTTTGCTGTGGCCCCTGCCGCTGGCCCTGCCACTGGCCTGCCTCCCTGTTCTTGCTTATGTTCTTGCCCCTTGAAGTTGCTCCTTGCCCCCCTCCCCGCTTCTGTTGCTATTCCTGCTCTGCTTGTAGTTGTAGTGGCTGTGTGATTAATTCGCGCAAAGAGTTGTGCGCTTCCGTTTCCGGTTGCTGTTGTTGCTGATGCCAGCGCTCGCTTTTATGCTTCACATTTCACAGGAGGCTGATTTGTGCTTAGACCCTCCTCCACCCTCTCCCTCCTGCTTAGCTCGTGGCTGCTCATTGCCCCCTTGCTTGCTTGGGGGCGCGGTTGTGGGCGGAGCGCAATATTAATTGTTTGGTGCCCAACGAGGCTTAAAAACACATGCTCATGTAAGCCACGTCCGTTACAGGAGCGCCTCATCCTGCCCAGACATCCTGACATCCCACAACCCGGCAACCCACAGCCCGGCAACCCTGCAACACGCCTCGCTGTTTCATGTTACTGCTGGGGAAAAATCTGATTCGTGAGAAGACGAAAGGGCGTAGAGGAGGGGGGAAACTACTGGATATCCACCACAACATTTGACGCTTTGCTGCTGCCTGCTTCTCTGCTTTTGCTTTGCCCCAAACATTTAAGATAAGAGCGCCACAATGGGTTGCGTTTGTGCCCCATTAATATGAAAATCAGACACACTTATCTTAATTAGTTAGTCGCATAGAATGAGGGGGGCAGCCGAGGGCCCAACTGAAAAGTCAACCCTGCCCCACAGCTGCCACTCAGGGGACACACACACACAGACACACGCAATGTGGCAGGCGCAAGCACGGGGGGGCGAGGCGTTAGTTTTTTTTTCATTTGGTCTCTTTTTAATAATACGATACACACTATGGACATGGGTGCGTTTGGATATGTGTGTATGTGTGTACATGCCACTGTGGCATGTGGCATGTGGCAGCTTATACAAATTATGGCACTTAACATGTAACAGTTAATTTTGTAGAACAAGCGACGCATTTAGTTTGGGCTCTCCCTCCTCTCTCGCTCTCTCACTCTGGTGCCCTTTTTTTCCTCAGTTACTCTCTCCCGTTGCGGAGAGTCTCCGAAGGCACATTTAGCAGTGGAGTTAATTTCCGTTAAGTATACCTCATGTGGAGCACGGCCCAAAGGGTTGGAGGGGCATGCAAGGGATTAGTCAAATATACAGAGAAACCATTGGAAGGCGCAGCATGGAACAACCTGCCAGATACATACAAAAATTCCCCGTAAGAGCACGCCCAAGAATGCTGGAAAAATCACAAAAAAATCGTTTATTTACTTGACTAGAAACCAATCATTGCATTATTGCCCTACGGCATTAGCAAAAGGCAACCAGCCAGCAAATCATAAAGTTTATCGAGCTGCAGCACTTTTAAATTCAAAACTCAAGCTTGGAACACCTAGAATTCTTTTAGCAGGTCGATCCATCTATGGCAGCTTTTTCGCACAATGAACAAAAAACAAAACACCATTTCGGGAGTGTCGAAGAAAGTTCTATACCAAAGTTGATAGATTTATATACATATATCATTTATTTATATATATGTACATAAAAAACTAGATGGACCTGTGCTTTGTTTTTACTATTTACTATTAAATGTGTTTCTTTTTGCTTTGCCAACTTTTAAAAAAAAAAAAGTAACAATGCCCCCCATTCTGGCATTATAAAGAACAAGCAAACAAATTGTTATATGATCTGCCTTTTGTGGTATTTAGTTTTTGTTTAATATACCCACTGGGCGGGCTGGTTATTGCGGTGGAGTGCAATAAACCCCCAAAAACTAAATGCCAACAAATACCCGCATGTACGTGCAGAATCGCTTGATATGGCTGCATGGAATGGGTTGGTGGGTGGTTTGTTGCTCCTCGTCATTTATCAAAGTCAGCGTTTTGTAGGATCCGAACTGCATGTTCCACAACCCATAGGGGGTACCGGATACCCCAATTGAAAAGATCTCATCCAGATGTATAGAATTCAATGCGTTGCAATGTTTTTTGTCGCCACTCATTCAATGCTACATATTTGTGCATATTTCCCCCATTTTGTTTTAGGACTTTCACTTGGACAGAAACACAAAGAGAGAGAGAGAGAGAGAGAAAGATTCCTATAGAATTTGTTTTGATCCGCACCTAAAAGTTTTAATAAACAACAATAAAATAGTGTGCATAAATACAATGCAAATGTAAACACACACCCATGAGCGGAGCAGAGCGGAGCGCATTCACATCCGCATTAGTGTATGCCTTTGCACCCACCGCATGCACCATTCGATTGTGCACTTCAAATGCATTTTATATTTTGGTTTGCTCTCTTTTTGGTCAACAAAAAAAAAATATACATACATACGGGCCTGGCAAAATATTACACGGCATTTTTAGAGTTTTTAAAACGGCTCAAAAGCAGAATGAGCGAGAGAGAGAGAGAGCGGAGGAGGGCCAGCAAAAATATGAAATACTTTTATTTATTTTATGATGCATTTGCATCAGATGCAGATACGAATGTTTCTGCATCTGTATCCGTTGCTGCATATGTATTTGTAGCTCTTTCCATATCTGTATCTGTATCTGAATCTGAATATGGATCGGCATCTGTGTCACACACACACACAAAACAAAGACAAAACAAATAAAATACAGAGGAAAATGCAGTATTTAAAAAGCGATTTTATATTGTTGATATTTCTGTGTGTGTGTGTGTATGGATCAGAGTTATTGATTGGTTCTGTGGAGGCAAGGATTGTGTGGCACTCCTCATTTATTTTCTTTATTTAATATTCAGACCTGGCCTGGCCACCGCCTTGCCACCGCCTTGCCACCGCCTTGCCACCGCCTTGCCACCGTTCCTCTCAGAGTTACATCACTTTTGCATTTGCAGCAGAGAAAATGGCATCATGTAATTGCAATTGAAATGAAGTAAGCGTAAATTTTGCATTAAAAAAATAATAGCCAGGCCAGCGTCAGGCCAGAGCCAGGAAAAGTGACTGCCACGATAAGAGGGCCCCCACCGCTCTCTGAACAGCGAAATTTTTGTTTCCTTTCAAATCAGTATCCAGTACCCAGTACCCAGTACACTTCCTTCTGCAGCCCGGGGCCTTCCGTCTTGGACGTTTTTCAAATGTCTGGCCTGGGCCTTCCATCTTGGCCTTCGTTTTCTTTGCCTTTCCACTCGGCTCTCCTACCAGAGAAAATAAATGAAAATCACTTGAAAATACTAACGAGCTGTTACGCTTGCCAAGAAAAATATAATCAGCAGCATCATGTCTGCAGGTGCACTTAAAAGGCGTTCACTTTTAGACCCCCACCCTGACCCGCACCCCACTGCCACGCCCCAAAAAAGGAGAGCAATCCAATCTGAACAATGGTACCAAAAAAAAAAAACACACACACACAAAGTTGTTTAAACAATTAAAACTAACCTTTTTTTTAAGTGCGGGGGGTCTCGGGAAAAAGGTGCAGGCAATGGCCAGCCTCAGAGACAATGGAAAATGGAAAAGCTTAAGGTTGGAGCGCTGCAGGTCGATGGGAAAATGACCGAAAAAAGTGCAGTGCGAGTCCCCCAGCTGCCAGCTTCGCTCAGCCTACAAAAAAAGTGCTGCAAGTGCAATGATTGAGAAAGTGGCACACAAAATATTTAAATTAAAAAAGACACAAATTGGCACACAAAGAATAGTTTAAATTAAAAATTATTTTTTTGATTTAATATATTAAATTAAAAAGAATTTTTTTCATTTAATATTTTAAATTTCTGGAAATTATTTATTTATATTTATTTTAATTATGAAGTATATTTAAATTTAAGATTTATTAATAATTATTTATAAATTTATTTAAAAATAAATTTTAATTTTTTTTAATTATGATGTATATTAATTTTAATTATGAAGTATATTTATTTTTAGTATGAGATATATTTAAATTCAATATTTATTTATTAATGTCAAAATCGAATTTAAAATATTAAAATTTCAATGATTTTTTTTTCTAAGTGTAGGCATTAGCAACCGGAGCGATGGACTACGGGAGACTCTATGTAATTCTCTTGGGTGTAGTCGCAGACTTCGGCTCTTGACTCTTAGTTCTAGCAGCCAGCTACTGTCCGCCTGCTCTGAGTGAGCTCCAAAGCGGTTGGACCACTTCCGTCACAAAATACTCCACTCGATTCCGAGACGCTGATGAAGCTGGACGACCTGGAGCACTCGACTTTACTCCACTCAAAAACGCTGACGAGACCTGGAGCACTCGACTTCACTGCACTTCACTTCACTGCACCACAGAGGCGACGCTGCTGGAGCTAAACGGGATGCAGGCTGTTTATTTGTGTGCTTGTGAAGGCCACAACGAAACGCGAAGCTAAGCGAAGCGGAGAGTGATCGTGATCATGGCGAATTCGTAATGAAGCTGAAACCAGATGAAGGCGCGTGCCAGGCACAATCTAATTCCTTGTACTGGGCTGTTGTCATGGAAAATGACTTTGAACTTTATTGTTTTCCTCCAGTGCCAGTGCCAGTGCCAAGTGCTTATGGTCTAGCCGGTTTTCTTTTACTATTTGGATACAACATTTTCCTGTTGGATTTTGTGCGATTTGAATTGATCGCGTAACTTAATTCATAAATGCAAAAAAAGAGAGAGAGAGCGGGAGCGGGAGCGGGAGAGAGGGAGAGAGCGAACGAGCGAAAGAAATGGCAGGTCAACAAATGGCAGACACTCACTTTTTGGCCAGCTTCAGCGGTCTATCAACCACAATGAAGCTTGCAGCTGAAGCTGAACCCAAAGTTGGAGCTGTTGCTTGTGCTTGTGTAATGGAAAAACACTAGCCTGGCTTGGCCTGGCCTGTCCGTTTTGTCCTACTCCGAGGAAAGGTGCTGGCCATATAAAAACGCGCTACCCAACCAAACGGAGCCACATTGCCAGTGCTGCAGTTGAGCAGTCATCAAGGTTGCAACACCCATCCCAGCAAAAGGACCCCAGAAATGGCGCACGTTAATTTGGTGAGTGAGTGGGAGTGAGAGAGGGAATGGATTACATTATGCAAAATGGATCCTTTGGCATTCCCAAGTGTTTTGCTTATTAAATCGTTTTTTTTTGTGTCTACCCAAATAGCAGATGCCGCTCATTGCAGCAGCCACAACCATATTGACGATTGTCGGCGCAACAACAATGGCCCGGAATGCGCCGCCATCGATGATGGGCACGGGTGTAGCTGCCAGCAGCTATGGGAACAATGTGGCATCATTTTATGACAATCGATGGCTGCCCATGAGTCAGCATCAGTCACAGTCAGCGTCAGCGGTGAGGCAGCAGCATAATGGAAATCATCAAAGCTACGGCACAGGAGAGCGTCGCAGCCATCAAGGAGGCGGCTCGTCCTCGTCCTCTGCTTCTGCCTCGTTGGCTGGCCATGGCCTGACGGCAGTGCTTAATGGACTCACAAGTCTATCGGGCTTGGGTCACATTAGCAACGGGTACGGTTCAGTGGCGCCCACCCACACGGAGGCCCTGGCACTTGGGTCGTCCAAGCACGAGATACCGATTTACGAGGAACACAATGAGGATGCAGCCGTGGCGGCTGTTGCAGCATCGGCCCATGACTATGGCAGCAGTCTGGAAAACCATCAGCATCAGGAGCAGGCGTCTGCTGTTTACAATTATCCAGCTGCATCGCACAATGGTGGATTCCTGCCCGCGTTTGGCTACGGATTCGGCGGCACTGAGCAGGGTTATGGATCATGGGCATTATCATCGCAGGAGGAACAGCAACAGCAGCACCAGCATGAATCGCAGCCGTATGCCTACGAGAAAATTTCAATGGGAAATTTCCTGCCACATTATGAGCAGAATTCCGGCTATGATGAGCAGCAGCAGCAGCAGGAGCAGCTCTACCAGCACCAGCAGCAGCAACAGCAGCAACACCAAGAGCAGCACTCCTCCTACTTTAGTCCCCACGGAGAGACATCCGCCTCTGGCGCGGCATCGTCATCGGCATCATCTGCATCGAGCGGATCTGGCGATGACTTTGAGGAGCATCCCGGAGATGGCCAGGAGCAGGGCTCCAACTACTTGGCTGAGTCGCCAAGTGGTGGTCACGGTGGCCAGGGGGGTCACTCGCATCACTCGCATCATGTGGATATCATCAACTATGTGCCAGTGAAGCATGTGAAGAAGCAGCATGTGCCCGTGGAGAAGCCCGTCAAGATACCCATTTCCCATGCAGTCATCATACCCGTACGCAAGCCTGTGCCCATCCACATACCAATCACCAAGACCATACAGGTGCCCTACGAGAAGGAGCTGAAGGTGCCCGTGGAGCGTGTGGTGCCGGTGCCCGTGGAGAAACACATACCCATACCCGTGGAGAAGCATGTGCCCTACCATGTGGTCAAGTACGTGCCCATTAAGGTGCCCAAGCCATTCCCCGTGAAGGTGCCCGTCTTCAAGACAGTCCTGCACAAGGTCAAGAGCTGGTGGTAGGATCTACATAAATGAATCTCTATCTCTACACTCATTTGGATTCAGTGCACACGTTTATTTTGTTATAATTATAAGCACATTACGCATCCCATTCCATTCCCTTTCCCTTTCCCAGCCCACATTTAGCAACCAAAGCGAACAACGTTATGCAGTTTTGAGCACTGCACTGCACAGCACAGTACATTTCGTATTCCATTTTCAATGCCGTTTTGAGTTTTAAAATTCATTTAATCCTCGTGACGTTCAACAATTTTGTGACTCATTTAACATTACAACAATTTGCATTAAAATACAAACACGAACGGAAACAGAAACAGAAACATACACGAAGCTCGTTGCAAGAGAGGTATGGTTGGGTGGGGAGGCGGTTTTTTTTTTAAATAAGAATACCCTGTAGTAAAAAGGGTATCTTGTGTTGACATAAGCAGACAAAATGGGGTATTGGCAGATATTAATCTACTAAAGTTTGCCAGTGCAAAAATCAAGCACATGCGATCTTCGTTTATCTTCCACTGAACAACTCCCAACAGCAGCAGCCGAGCTTGTAAATAATCGTAAACAAATGTTTTCATTGAGATCTGCGCACTGCAGCACCCCCGAGCCAAGCACACGATCTCTTATCTTCCACGGACCCGAACTTCTTTTCTACCTGCGCTTGGTGTGGTGCTCTCTTGCGTGCTTTCGGTTGAGCACGATTGAACGCGTTTGCGTTCTCACAATAACAACAACAGCAATGAGAGACACATTTCGGTGTGTGTGTGGTGTGTGGTGTGTGGGGAGAGAGAGATCGGTTCGTATCTCCTCTGCAAAGCTTATCTCTCGAGCACAAGAACGAATTACAAATGTACTTACATACATACATACATATGTATGCATGTACAGACATGCAGAAGTTCGCAAAATCAAGAGAAAGCATTTGATTTTGTTTTGTTTTTATTTTCAGACACCCTAAAAGTGTTTTTGCGAGCTCTTTTATTTACAGATTTAAAGAAAAATGAATCTTTATTGAAATAAATATTTGTGCAGTAGAACAGGATTTTCAGCTTATTTAAAGTTATGTAGTTGCTCTCGAAAGTCTCGTTTTCCAACTCTTTTTGAATGAATAATAAATTTGATTATTCAATAAGATGCCCAACTAACGGGTATCGTGCAGCTGAAATGCCCACCATAATGCCATCATACTTGTTTAGCAGTGATTTTACGGTGCATTTATCATGAACATAAACCGCCAGCTCCGACAACTCCATGCCATTCCCGCCCGCCTTTGCCATGCTCATTTATTTAATTTCACTTTAAGCGCACACAACACAATGAAATTTGTGTTAAATGAAATGAAATTCATCTTCACAAAAGGCTCTCGCTGCTCTCTCCTCTACCAGGTTCTGCCAAATGCCATTTCCAGACCATTACATCGACAGTTCGGACTCTTTCTGTACCAGTACCAGTACCGTACCGTACCGGAGCAACCCTTGCACTCCAGGGTTTCCTGGGTCTAATTAAATTAAGTGCACACCTTTGTTGTTCCGCTACGCGCTGGCATGTCGCCGCTTTTTGCAGTTCTGCTTTGATTTCCCGTTGCCCGTCCCGTGGTAGGTGCCAGCGATGCTTTTGTTTTTTTCTGGCTGCACATCCAAACTGAATCCTGGTCCAGTTCTGCAATTGTCTAGCATTCAAGAAGCAGAATCTGTTTAGAAAACTTTAATTTAAAACGAAATATTAACTAGTGAAACTAATGGCAACGCCATGGAAAAATTTGATCGGACAGAGCCTGGCTGTGCAGAGATCTACTTTAACTGTAAGTAATCTTTCCACCAGGAATACTAACCAAAGCCAATTCAAGCCAGAAACATTTGTGGCAGCCCAACGAAAGGCAACAGTAACATATCGTATGCCGTATATTTGCTTTGCTTGCCAGCAATCCTTTCCTTTCCCACTGCGCCTTGGCCACGCACAGCCTCTCCTCGCCTACTCATCCCTGTTGGCTCGTCCTTTGTCCCTATGTGGCACGACACTGTTTGCAGTTTGGAGCTAGCGGATGTGGTCCTTTTGGCGCTCGAGTGTCAGTCACGCGGCTGTCTGTGGCTCCGTCGCTTGGAGCTGCTGCCGCTGCCTGCTGCCTGCCACTTTCGAGTTGCCGCGCGCTACTCTTGCTCCATTTACTGTGTATTTTTGATGTCTAAATTGCATTTTATTATGTCGCTCGCTGAAGTGGAGAGGAGTGTGCGGTGGAGACGGAAAACTTCTCGCTGCTTGCCACATATGGCTGAGCAGCAACGTTGTCGTTGCCTCTGTCGTTGCTTGGTGGCTTTGTTGTTGCGGTTGTAAATTTTATTTATCATTTAACATTTTTTACGCTTTTTATGCCGCTCCACCAGTCAGTAAGAGGGGCGGGGCTCCACCCGGCGACACACTTTAAGTGACTTTTCAAGTACTTTATTTTGCATACACAAAAAGTATTTGCCTTGTCGCGTCGCACATGTGCATGCGTGCGTATACGTAATATTGGTGGCAACTCGCTTTACAGTGTACTCGTACGTTGGACTCGCTTCCGGTTTCCCTTTTTTATGCTTTTCTTTTTGTTTTGCTGTTATTCAGTCTTTCTTGCTTACCCCTTGTGGAGGGGGGGATACTATCGCTTTCAGGAGATGTTTTGCAATCCAAGGGAAAGGGCATCTCCATGAGTTTGTAAATCTGCAAAGGGTATCTAAGGCTGCGGCCCTTGCTTACTTGTGAATATTTTTACTACACTTTTTTATGTTAAATTAAGCATTTTAGTTATTATTATGATTTTCATTTGCTAACTTTATTAGACTCATTCTCCACTCCGTTTTTGTGTCTTGCCGCAATATTATTTTTACTTTGACATAAACATATGTCATTTATTATATGTACGTACGTACGAGTATGTGTGATATTTAATGAACTGCAAAGTTGCAAAGTTGGGTAGCCAGCCAGCCTCCTTCGCATCTATGTACAATGGAAATGATAATGTGAAACTGTGTGGTGGCTTTTTAGTTTCAGGCAAATTTGCCTTGTGTTTGCCCACAAAATTAATTAATTTTAATTTGAGGCTGGCTGACAATGACACAACCAACCGAACATCCCCTCCAAGTATGGGATATAATTCTGTATTATGATATATGTATGTAGTGTGGTTTTTTTTTCCACTTTTCTGTGTATTTTCCGACCAATTGTCAATCGCAAAAAATTTGGGAGATTATAAAACAAGAACGTTGATTATTTATCTGAAAGTATTCATATTTCAAAAAAAATTTATAAAATAAAATAAAATAAAATAGACATAAATAAAAATTAAATAAAAGCTTGAACTTAAAAAAAAATCATTATACATATATCTAGTATTTTTTTAAATTGTTGAGACTAGTTATTGCTAACACTTGAAAAAGATAGCCCACACCATTAATCCTTCCTCCTTTTTCTATCAATTTGATATGCGAATTTTCCGAAGCGCCACTTCTATTGTGGCAAATGTTTGCTTTATTAAATAAGCAGCTGATCCAACAGACTCGTAGGAAACAAGACAAAAAATAACACAACAGTTGGTTTTAATAACGGCTCTACCCTGCCCTGCCCTGCCCTGCCCATGTGTGGCATGTGGCTGCGTTTGCTGCATGTATGGTGGGCAGGCGGGGCGGGGTAGCTGCAACTGTGTTTGCACTTTTATTAAAAAACTTTTGCATAATGAAAGTTTTCGAGCTCTCTCTCCAAATTGTAGTCGCAATATATTTATAATTCCCGTAAAGTTGTGTGTCGGTTGGTCGGTCGGTTCACTTCAGCTATTTATATAAATATTTTTGCAAAAGTTTGGCTAAAATATGATTTTTTTGTGAAGTGTTTGTGCTGCACACAACACACACAACTCTTTGGCTTTGTGTCCTCTCAAAATAATGCACTCAGCCACATTAAACAGATTTTATTTCCTTTAAGCAAGTTTTCATTGATTGCTTGGCTTTTGACAGGCGGCCCCCCCCTACATAATTCTGTATAAACATTTCGTATATAATACTTATGTTCTCGTTGTAGGAGCAAGCTTGCCAGCAGCATACAACAATGTCTATATAATGGGAATAAGAAAATTTTATTGTGGCCGCAATGGCTTGGCTGGGGCTCTGGAGAAACACCAAAAGAGGCCGGCGAAGAGGACTCACTCTCTCTCTCTCCCTGTCTCTCTCTCTAAAAGCAATGATACTTTTATCCCCCGCCGCACACTGCCGGCATATCATTGCCCCGTAAGGCGGCCACTCAGCGAGATGGCGGTGGCTCAGTGCCTGATGGCTGATGATGGGCGCCGCATACACACACACACAAACACACACACACACATATTGTCGCCACCGTATTTGGGTGTGGATTTTCGGGATATGCGGAGTTACATGTTATGAATTTTTTAGGGTCTTTGCCTGGGAACATAGACAGTCAAGGGGACAAAAGGAGGCTGCTCACACAGACAGGCAGGGCACAAAGGGACAAAGGGAGCGACTCACAGACAGACGGACAACAATAAAAGCCGTGTGGCACGTGTGCAGTACGCCGAGATTATGTCTACGTTTTGCTCAAATGATTTACACATCGTCTGTGTGTGTGTTTTTTTTTCTTATCCGCACATGGGGGCTGGCTTTCGTTCGGCCATATGCAGTTACCAATTTGCCATTGCTGTGCGCGCGAGCCCGGAAAATTGCTTGCTACAAAGTACAGGACAAGTATCAGGCTTAAAGGTGGCTTTTGGCCGTAGAAATAAGCCATGATTGGCCATAAAGATTGCTTAATGTTTGCTTGAATCTGTATGCAGGGTGAGCTGTAGATCATCCACAGATGGTAGATGTAATGGAAAGTCTATTAAATATACTAAAAATATATATTTAAATTAGTATGAAACTGCATTCCCATTGGGCGTATTATTAGCCAAATCCTTTGTGGTTTAATCGCTTGAAATTATATGCCAGCTTAAAAGAAAGTATCTCTTATCCCCCCACAACGGATTCACGGGCCAATGCCTGAGCGAGGGGCACAGACAGTCGCATGTGCAGACAGACATTTGTTTCAGCAGAACGACTGTAGTTGCGCAACGGAAGTGCAACGTATCTGTGTATCTATGCGATACATACTGTGAATCCTTATGTAGCATGTACTTGGCTGCTTGTGCACTTTGCAGTTGGCTTTTATGGCACTCGAAGCAGCTTGTGCGAAGCAGGTGAATGTGCAGCACTCCGCGCAGCTCCCGGGGCGTGGCAAAATAGCAAACTAATTTATTAAAAACGGATATATGAGGCAGAGTTTTCTACCATATATTTTGGGGCGGTAGTTTCAGCTCATTGCACGGCCGCCGCCATATTGCCACAGAGTTCATAATTTTGTGCCTTGGCGTTGGCTGGTAAATAATGTGCTGTCAGCATGTCAACGGCTCTTGGCTGCCGCTCTCTCTCCTCCTCTCTGGCCGGCACATTTGTTTATTGTGCCAAGAGTTTTCATAGCCCAAAACTTGCTTGCAACGAAAGTTAGAAAAGAAAGCATATTCGACCCGTGCTTGACCTCATTCAGCTACCACTTGCCACAGCTGCTTAGCTGTGTCCTAGCTACCAATTGCTAGTTGCAAGTGGAATTAAATCAGCTGCAGCCAAGGCAATGACCAACAGACAAAGTTGAGCAGGCAGCGTTCGGGGAGTACCAGGTATCTAATGGTCGAGCCACTCAATTCTAGCGTTTGCTTTTGTTGGCTTTTGATTTGAAACATTTTTGCTCATTATGTGTGTGTTTTGTCGCTGCAGCTGAGCTGCAATGGCAATGACAACGACAACTGCAGCTCATCCGCCTGGACGGACACGTTTTGTGGATTTGAAATATGATCCGATGATGCTGGTGCGCTGTTGCTGGCACTGCTTGCTGCTTGCCATTTCAATGGCAATATTTAGTTTCATTTCTCAACTGAATACTCTGTCAACTGAAGCTGCCTCTGGGCACTGAACACTCTGCGCTCTGCAGAGCATTGTGTCTGATGACATCTAGCCAAAGGTAATCATATCCCCTGCAGTTTCTCAGCACAAAATTGTCAATCAAAGTCTCTCACTGTCTGTCTGTCTGTCTCTCTCTCTCCAGTATATGAAAAATAGCAGAGAGGCGGAAGCTTAAGCTGAGGCCTGAGTCTCCTTCACAAAACTGATATTCAAGCTCACGTCAATGGACTTCAATTAGAGACATTTTTGATGAGCACTTGGCCATCCCAACGGCTTTTGGTTAGTTCATTTGGCAGCTGTTGCTGGGGCCTTCAACGACCAAAAGTTGCAACACTTAATTGCCACACAGAACCCCCGCACCACCACTACGCCATCAACCCGAGGGGCAGGTTGTGAAATATTGATACGTATGCTGGAGGGGCAGAGCTCGTTTTGGAGGGTCTCTCAGCTCGTTTTAAGCGCACTTTAATGGCAATTATACGCCCGAGTAGTTGTTTGTGTTACCAAACTTTGGTTCTACCCGTATGGCAGCGTCAACACAGAGCCAAGATAGACAAACAAACCCACACACACACACACGCACACTCTGCTACACGTATCCCAAAAGCCCCCAGACGATCCTGACAGCATAAATCCTTTGGAGTGGATAAAATACTTGCCAACATTTTGCTTGCCGCTGCACGCACAAAGATTATTAAAGTTGTGTGTAAATAGTTTATGGTAATCATAAAAGATACATACATACACACAGCAACATCTTTGCTTTACGAGCGTGGTGGGTGGGGGGTGTTTTCCACCTTTGTCTGCATAAAATTTCAGACATGAAATATCACTCATACGCCACGTTGCAACCACTAAAATGTCAACTCTTTTCCTATCCAATATACGCACACAGTGTGGCAACGGGCCATCAGTTCATCAGCTCACCAGCTGACTGCAAAATTGGTTGCCTGAAAGTGCTTTTGGCCATTCGGCAATTAAAATAATCAAAGCAAAAAAAAGTAAAGGGCGGGCGTCAACTGTTTTCTTGAGTTGTCCCTTTGAGTCTACATCAAAAATAACAACTTGCCACCTGAGTCGCAAATTTTTATGCTGCACATAAATTTTGGCTGCCCAAAAATAAAAGGGGTGTCCGTGTCCCTTCGAAAAGTACGCGTTAGGTTGGTGGGGGGTTAAAACTTTTCGCTTCCTGGGCGCTAACTGATGGCTGGCCGGGGCTGTCATTTTTCAATGGGCTGCCACCCCACCGAAATCCACACCCACACAGAGATCTGAACCAGTTAATGCTTTCCCAGTTGCTGCTGCCGCTGCTGCTGCTGCACAGCAATTATCAAAGTTTTTCGAGGTAAAAGTGCTGATTAATTTTTAATGTTTATCTCCTGCTGCTGGTTTTACCTGCCACCCCCCCGACAAAAGTGTGGAGTCATTTCCCAAATTATAAAGTCATTTGGTTACCACCAAAAAAACGGTAGCTGAAACCGAGACCAGGCGCTGATTTAAGCGAATTCTGACTTGGCGATTCTGTTGCCGTTCCTCACTTTATCAAGTGAACGCAGAGGCAGTGGCAGAGCTATGGCACCAAGTGGCAGGTTACAGTCAGAGAAATATGGCATAATATTAGTATGTAAATTAAGATTGATATTAGTACTGTAATATTTATAGAATTTACATTGATCTAATAAGCAAAGTATTTAATCTATTTAATCTAATTAAAAACACTTAAAAAAAAAAAAAAAAACTACATTTGTGGAAAATATATTTAATTTATATTTGAAACGATTTAATTTAAGTATAAAATTTATTTTACTCATTAAATAAATTTTTATAAAAAATATTTTCATTTTAGTGTGAAAATGTGGGGGGTTTTTTTATTTTTACAATTTGTCACTCGCTGTGCAAAATCTATGGCTACAAATGTTTTTATCTATGTGTAACCATTGTGTGCTCTGTGTGTGTTTTTTTTTCTCTAGCTGTTGCTGTGGTGCAGTAAGAGAGAGAGAGAGAGAGTGTGAGATAGATAGAGGAAAGTGTTTTTGTGCCCCCTCCCTCACACGTGTCGAATGCGTGACAAATTAATTGTAAACAGCCGCAGGGTACATTTCGATTTGTTTCTCGTTCTTCTGGTTCCGGTTTACCGCTACACATGTTCCACATGCAACGCAACAATTGCCATTGTTGATTTAAGTTTCCTTTTTTTTTTTTTGGCAGAGTAAAAACATTGCCAACGATTCATTATTTGAGGGCAATAGTTGCACACACACATACACATACATATGTATGTAGCATATCCCTATTATCTATTACTAACGAAACCAACCGTGGTTGGTGGGGGCCACTCTCGCCCCTTCGCAGTTGCCAGAGTCTCATCAGCAGAGAGTCGTCGCGGTCAGCAATCTGACCGGACGCATGTTCATTGCGTTTTGCGGCTTTCGTTAGTTCGGGCTATACGGTTCCCGTTGCCACTCTCACTCCAATTCCCATTCCCAGTTGCAGTTGCGGTCCTCCCCCCACCAACGTTCGTAGTGGTCACATGGTCACAAAATTCTTAACGAAGCGGTCAATGTGTGTCCTGCAATTATGAATTTATGTGCATTTATCTGGCAAAAGTCCGACATCCCAGGCAGGCATTCTGCATTTGCATTCTCCCCCCCCCAGGCAACGTTTATTGATTTGCACGTACAATATGATTATTTAATTTTGATTTTTAGTTGGGCTTCCGACTGTTTTGTGGTTTTGCCTGTGCACACTCCATAAATACTAATCATAATCATAATTTTTGGCAAATGAAGAGGCTTCTAATTATGTCCGTTAATCAGTTGGGTATATTGGGTACCCAATATAGATATTTCAGATCAGCTTGAACATGGGGATTATATTTACTGTAATTAATACTTTCAACAGCATGAATATGTTTCTCTTTCCAGCCCATAAACTCATATTAATCAAATAAAACGTGTAGAACTTTTTGCCATTCATTCATTCCCTTTATTCATCGTTCATAAATGGGGCCTGAAGGTATACAAAAGGATACAAATAATTCCAGGCTAGTGATGACAATTTCATTGCCATATGAAAGATCTGTAGTCACACATGGAATTTTCTTAAATTTAGTTCCGCTTTCTTTTTCCTAGAACAGTGCCCAGAACATTATGCTCGAATGTAGTACTTGGCCCCACGCTCCGCGAATGGATGCAGCAAAGAATGAAGTACAATGGCTCCCACGTCAATTAGAGTTAATTTCATTAGCCGGCAATAACTTGCAGCACTTTCCACGAGAAGTTACGCTGGCCTGGCAGGAGCAGCATGCTCTTGGCCCTGGTCTCGTGCAACTTTACTTTTTGGCTAATTCTGTTGCTGTTGCGTTAACGCCTCGCTGAAGTTGAGCGTCGCGTTTATTTTGTGCGTCATTGTTGGCTGTCGCTGTCGCTGGCTCTGACTCTGCCCTTGCCGCTGCCCCTAACTCTGCCCCTGCCTGTACCCTTGCCTCTGACTCTGCCCCTGCATCTGCCCCTGCCTGTACCCTTGCTGTTGCTCTCTTCCTGCCCCTACCTCTCCACTGCTGCTAAAAGTTGTTCTTGTTGCTGTTGCAGTTGCAGTTACATTTGGCAATTAGCCGCTGCATTTTCTTGCACTTTCGCTACTTTTGGCCATAAGCTGGGGCATTCCGTTTCCCCCCTCCATCCACCCAATACATATTTATTAGCCGCATTTGTTGGATTTTAGCTCAATTAAAAAGTTTTACTTCGGCTACTTTTCTTCAATTGCAACCTCTCGACTCCGATTTTGGCCACGACTCTCGACTTGCGACGTCAACTTCCATTCGGACTTTGGGGATGTCTTGTTTTGCCCGAAGTTTTTTTTGTTTTGTTTTATTTTCTAGCAGTTTTTGTGCTGCTTTTATTTTATTTTGTTGCTCTCTTTTCGTTTTTTTGTTTTACTGGCACTAATTGCAATTACTTTGGTCTGGCAAAAAGGCAAAAAGGGGCAGTGGCTGAGGAATCGTTTAAAGAACAAGATTACGAATTTATTATTGAAGGCTTAAAGATCGAATAGGCATACAGGATATAAGTTTTAGCCCAACAGATGATTGGCATTCCAGCCGCCCGTTGCCACATAGTGTGGATGATGATGCTGCTGCTGCAGATGCTGCTTGTGCACCACCGTTCGTACCACGGGCACTTTGACCGGATACGGATAGTAGACGGGCGTGGCCACAGCCTTCTCCACTCGGTAGGGCACACGTCGCTCGACCACAAACGGTATGGGTCGCTCCACGGGCACCGGCTTGATCCGTTCGATGGGTATCTTCACCTCATGCAGCTGGGGCACGGCCACCGTTTTGCTGACGGGCACCTTGATGGGCCACGGGCCGGGGCACGGCAGCGATAACGGTGCGCGGCACCTGCACCTGCAGCGTCTGCTTGTAGGGCACCAGCTGCTTCTGGTAGTGGGTGACGGGCACCTGTCGCGTGATCTCGATGTGTTTGCCCAGCGGCAGTCCGGCCAGCGCCTTGCTGCTCGCGGGTGTGTGATGCACGCTGCTGGTAATCGGTGGCAGGAAGCCGCCGCCACTCTTTGGCAGCTCTGCAATGTGCCTGTCGGTGTGCGAGTAGAGCAACTGCTGATCCTGTTGATCCTGCTGGCTACCCAGTCGCTGGCGTTCCCTCAGCTCCTGCTGCCGTTCCCTCAGTTCCAGTTGCCGTTCGCGCAGTTCCAGCCGCTGGCTCAGTTCCTGCTGATTTTCTGTCTCTTGCTGCTGCCGATAGACAGCCGCCTCCTGCTGCCGCTTTACCGGATTCAACAAGGTTTGGCGTCCTTTGATCCCAGAATAGACACCAGACCCATTGTCCTGCTCGTACTCCGCCCCAGCTGGAGCCTCCCTTTGCTCGCGATAATTGGAAATTTGTTCGAAATGGTAATGACCGTGGGGCGTGTTGGTGGCAAGCGGCACCCGCGGCTGTGGCTCTCTCTGAGGCTGAGGCTGATATACATAGCTTTGATAGGCAGCCCCAGGACCGGCATCGGCACCGGCAGCAGCACCAGCACCAGGACCAGCGACATTTGCCTCATAATTTCCAGTATTAATGGCAAAATCGATATTGCCCCGCTGCTGTCCGGAATGCTGTTCGGTATGCTCGCCGTATGCCGAGTGCAGCGGCACTTTGTTGCCATAGTGGGCGGCGGAATAGGCGGGGAAGGGCACAAATCCGTTTGCCGTGCTGCCCAGTGATGACCAGAGCTGGTGTGGGGGGGCATAATTTCCATATGTGGCCCTTGCCAAGTCATCGCTGCCACCAGAAGTGCCATAATAATTTCGTGTATATCCTGTTAATCCCGCCAACGACTCTGCCGCGGCTGCGTCCGCGTCCGCGCCTGTGTCATGGTAATTGCCTTTGCCATGTTCCAAAGGCAGAACCACTGGTGGCAGCTGGAATGGGAACGCAGCAGCAGCAGCCGCAGCGGCAGCGGCAGCGTGTGGATGCGGATGCAAAGAGGCGTCTATCGCCTCCACTTGGCCGCTCATTGTTATGGATAGCAGGAGCCACATTAATGCATAGATCGTTAATGAACTGTTGGCATGTTGGCCAGGAGGCTTCATCGTGTTCCTGTTCCTGTCCTGTCCCTGTCCTGTCGCTGCTAATCCTTGGGGCTTGAACTTTGGGCGTGCGTGTGCCAGTGTGCCGCCCAACTGTTGTGGCTGTTGGTCCGCTTTCAAATGTAAATTTCCCTTGGCCGCGTTTGTGTTTTTATAACAGCCGCCGGATGGGTCTGCCTGCTGCCACTAGTAATCGGATAGTTGGGGGGCGAAGGGTTCATTGGCACCTATTGCTCCTGCTGGCTGGGTGGATTGTATAACTTTCACTTGTTCCGCGCAGTGTCTTGTACCTTTCAGATGCGTGTGCAGCGATCCGATCCGATCTCGATTGTCGGTTCGCTACGAGATTTGGTGGGGTATGTGGCATAGGGTCTCGCTCATCCCCTTCCACTTCAGCTGCGTTGCCCCTGACTCGTTTTACATTTGATTTTCCAGCTTGCCAGCACTGTGTGTAGCCCTATGCCGCATCGTATCACATTTCCCATTTTCCACTCGGTGGATGTGGCTGCTTGCGGCCAATGTCGCGGCCACTTCGATGAGTGGGGCCGCCTGGCGACGCTGCTGCTGCTCTCTCCCTATGTGTTTGCGCTGTGACAAACACCTCACACTCCGCCGCTGGGGGCATTGCTGTCTCTGCCAAGTGACACAATCGCGGGGGGCAGCCAAGTCTGTTGTTGCGGCCGCCGCACTTTCAGTTTTCAGTCAATGACATTTCGAGGCAATCGAGGTTCTTGCATCATTTAGATCTGCTTCTGCCACTGCCACTGACTAATGCTCTGACTACACGCAGATGCAAAATGGCACACCAAAAAATGAGACACAGCCATAATTAAATAGAATAAAATAAGTTTTAAATATAAACATGGGGAAATGAAAAATAATTCACGAATTTAAAATACGTTTAAAACACTCTGAGATATATACAAAATATTACATATTGTTGGAAATATTGTTTTCTGACTATGAAAAACTTTAATTTAAATATGAATGATTTTAGTTTTAAGATTAGTTTTAATATATATTCGATCTATAAAAATATTTAATTTAAATATAAAATATATATCTTTTAAGTAACTTTACTTAAATTAAATTAATTAATTAATTTAATTAATTTAAATATGAAATATATTTAATTTAAGTAAAGTTACAAAAAATAAGTATATATCATATTTAAATTAAATATTTTCGTATATCGAATATACAATATATTAAAAATAATAAGAATAAATTATTAAAGTGTCAAAATGTATTAGAAAAAAATTCCATATTTAAAATTTATAATCTAATAATTTAACAATTTAATTTAATTTAATATTTTTAAATTTAAGTTTACATAATTCCTACGACTGTAGTGCCTGTTTCGCTTGGTGCATACTTTGCATGCCACTAGCGGGTGAAAATCAAATATATTTTCTAACCAGCAGCAGCCGCAGCCGCAGCAGCAGCAGCAAACGAGGAAGCTTGATAGAATTTAAACAGGTAAGGAAATGGGCGGAGATACTTACTCACATAGTACGCGCGCTGCGCCTTTGGATCATTCATCATTCTGCCTCTGAATTTAAGTTGGTGAATAAGTTTTCACTGCCACCGTTGTTCCCCCACTCCAAGCCCCCCACGCCCCACGCCACTACTTGCCGCACTCTTTTCGGCACAAAGTATTTGCACAATTGCTGGCTCTCGAGAGGAGAGCTGCCGCTGCTGCTGCTGCTGCTGCGCCCCCAAAATGACAGCGCCAAAGTACACGTAAAGTGTATTTTCACATTGAATGAGGTTAAGCTTCGTTAAATTTTGCGCAGCTTTTTACCCACCACCTCCCCAACCAACCCCATCACCCCGACTGTGTATGTGTGTGTGTGTGGGTTACTTGTTGGATGCAATTTTTTTTATTATTTCTTTTCGCTTCTTTTTCATTACTTGAAATGCTTTCAAGTCTTGTCAAGCATATTTTAGCCAAGCTTCATAGAAAAGAAGGTAGTCTGATGGTAGCCAGGAGGGTTTGGGCGCTGGCCTGGTCAAAATGGTGGCTTAGAGTGGGTGAAAAATCAACGAAAAGCTGCCAAAGTTAAATGTTCTTTTCCTACACACACACACGCACACACACACACTAAAACACACTTATTAAAGTTGAAAGTTGCTTTCCATCATAAAATTAACGGGAGCGAGGAGAACGAACCCCTTCTTAAGTTGGGGTTGAGGGTTTGGGGCTTGGGGGCTTCTCTGTGACACTGAAACTTCATTAAGTCACGTTAAAATGAGGCAAGAGCCACCCAGCCAGAAGGATAAGCTAAAGCCGAAGCAGCACCAGAGGCCAAGGGCTACAGCCGGATTGCAAATAGCCAAGAAATTCCAGCTCTGGGCCCTTTGTCTGGGCCCTGCCAGGCACACCAAGCGCAGCAGAATGGGGGGCAGCCAACGCCGGCCAGCGTTGCATGCGAATTTAATCAAGTCATGCAATAGAATTTACGGTGCCATTGCACCACACCCTGCCATCGATGCTGGCCTGCCACAGAATTAACCCCCAAACTTGGCCTTGGCTTCTAGCAGGGGGAAACCTCTCTCGGCTACTTCTACTGCAGGGGACATCGTACCTACCGCCTATTTGTGCAGCTTCTTGTTGCTTGCTTTCTTTTCTTTTCTTTTTTTTTTTTTTGGGGGGTTTTTTTGTTTGGTTTGGCTTAAAAAAATTTGCAGTGCTGGAATTGGGAGTGGAAGGCAATCTTCTGTAGCCAGCTTTGCTTGTTGGGCGAATTCTTTGGTACATTTTGGCAAATGTCACGGCCTGGACATGCAGCGCTTTCGCCTCAGGTGAGCCACGAGCCAGCACAGGATTCGGATTCGGGTTTGGGTTTTGTGTAAACTTTTCGATGCACTAAAAATGTGAACGCTTTTAGCAGCATATTCAAATTGATAATAAAATAGGAGAAAATAAACTAAAAACTGATGTTTTCTTTTCTTTTTTTTATGATTTTCCTCTCATAAATAAACGCCGAAGCACTGCAGTCGGAGAATGTCCAAGAAACGAGAGCCAGGCAGGAGGCAGGTCCAACATTTTCATTACCTTCTTTGCCTTGGTACGAGCGTAGATTCCTTTGCCGATGGCGAAACCGCAATCAAAATTCCAGGCCGTGGCTCTTAATTGGTCTTTCTTCACGGGGAAAAGCAACTGCCGGCGCTGTTTTCTACTGCTTTTCTTTTGGCCGTCGCTCTTTGCTTCGTTTTTCATTCATTTGATTTTCTTTTCGGTTTTTGCTTTTGTTTTTTCCTCCCCACCCCCCCTGCCGTTCCATACAAATGCAAATTTCAATTACGCGTATTGCGGGGCCAAATTGAAATGCCTTGGAAAATATTTTCATGCCCTTCTCCGCCACTCATAAGAAATGCAGCCTGGAAGCCTCGCCATGGTTCGGCTCGGTGGGGGGGGCTCTTTCGGATTCAACTCCTCTCCCGCCACCCCCTTGATCAACAATCGCGTGCATTTCATTTGCATTTGGAATGCGGGCGGCAACTTTGGTCGTACTTGAAATTTATTTGCTAATTTTGTAACATGTGTCCTCCGCCTGCTACTGCTGCTGCTGCTGCTGTTGTTGCTAGGATGGGGAAAGTCGAAAAGTTTTTCACTCGCAATTTGAATGGTAAATGGATGGATAGTTGGGGCGAAATCCATTTGGTTTCTGCGGTTAATGAAATTTTCATTTGCCAAAAGTTTCCTTTGCCACAGCGAAGATACGCAAGATCTGACCCTGCCCGCAGTTTGTGGCTTCAAAAATATTTCATTTAATTGCCATTGAAATATTTAATATTAATTAATGGGCTTTATTCGCATTAAACTCATTAAAAACACATCAGAACTGGCCACACACACACACCGGATACATCTTTGGTCACGCTCTTGAGACGACCATCATCATATTAGGGGAGTATTAATCTTAATAATTACTGCATATTGCCATTGCCCAGAAAGAATGCCGAAAACAATGCGAAAAGTTGGCCAAACAAAAGCCTCAAACTTGGGAATGAATGGATGCTGGAATTTCTTCGTATGCCCCCCCCCACCCATGCCCTGTCCTGACCAAAGGCATTTCGTCTGACAGCCGCAAGAGCCAGAGACAAACTTTTATGCCATTTATTTATCTGCTATTTATGACGACGACGACGACTGACCAACCGAAAAACCAAACCCAACCCAACCCAACGCGGCGGCTTTGGCTTCTGCCACTTAACATTTCGAATTATTAATGAATTTCATTGGCCTTCAGTGGGATTTTGCTTGAGGTTACGGGCCCGTGCACAAATAGAATTTTGCATCAAAGTCAAGTTGAATATTAAATCATTTTTCTATTGCTGAGTGATTGTATTGGCTACATTAATCCAGCACATATACCATAAACAAATATGCTGCTGCTGACAGGAGAAAGTGTTTTCAAAAATGATATGTACCTGTTAACCCTGAGGGCTGCCCCACTGGCTGCCTGCCTCTACACTGCATTTGACTTGGCAGGCTATTGTCATTTATAGCCCTGCCTATTCTGGTTTCTCTCTATGTCATTCGTAATGCATTTGCTGGTTCCATCCTATCGGATTACAGTCCGGTTCATTTTGTGATGCTGCTTTTGCACTGGCGTTAACTCCTTTGGATTCCTCACACTCCGAACAGTCTCCGAACTGGCGACAGTCACTAATGAAAACTGACACACACTCGTACGATGGACGTACATACATATGCACATATGTATGTGTATGTATATATATATATATAGCAAGCCTGTCAGCTGATAGCGCTGCAAGCGCTTGCTTTTAGTTTTCAGGCATTGATGGACTGCATTTGATTAAATTAGTATGCATTTGAGTTTGAAAAGCATCTGCCTAAATGGCTGCCATCGCTCAAATATCAACAGAGACGAGGAAGAGAGAGAGCAGAGCAGAGCAGCCCTTGAAATCGACTCCCCCCCACCAACCCATTACACTATAAAACAAGACCAAAGCAGCCTTGACGAAGTTTGTCAGTGAATTCAACCAAATACGAGAATACCACTGATGTACATACATATATATAAATACATATGTACATACATATGTATGTGGGGCACAGACCGCGCAATGTAATCGTAGTTAAATTGAAAAAGTTTACCCCATTTGTTTTATTTTTATTGTGTTTTTTTTTTTGTTGGGGGAATATATATACAGATAGATATACACCCCACCCCCACGCAAGCACACAC